GTGCGTGTGTGTGTGTGTGTATGTGTGTGTGTGTGTGTGTGTGCGTGCGTGCGAGTGGGAAGGTGGGTGTGGGATATCTATAACAAGTACATAATATTATAACAGTAGAGATGTTAACTGCGAGACCCTGAAAAGAGGCAATATTTTTGTAACCTGGAGTTTCAATATTATTCATCATCAGGCCGACTTTATTGTGGTGAATTGAAACCACTGTTATCAAAATTTACTCTCATAATATTTTACCCATTTTTCTTTTATTTTGGCTATTATTGTATCAAGTTTTAAACATTATACCATAATATTAATTGCGCTTCTCCGGGGCACCCAGAAGATTTGAACTCAATCCCCAAATATGTGGATAACTATTTTTATCCAGTGTCTCGGTCCTCCCGCTGAGATGTTGTAATTCCCTCAGCCCGGGTTGGCTCTGACCACAGAATTCTACACTTAAGTGTAGAATTCTGTGGCTCTGACACGTTGGGTCGACGTCCGCGAGGGCGCTCTCGTGGTCTGGAGGTACGATTTCCGCCCCTCATTCAATATGTCCCGGGTTCGAAACCTGACAGCACGGAAAATTTTCTTATCTAAAAATGTCTCCTTTCACCTCTACATCATGTTCTGTTATGTGATTTCATCTCCACTTTCTGCCTCCCCTCTTTTCGCCGTATTTCTAGACCACGAGAGCCCCCATGTACATGGTATTATATTGCTAAAGGTTACGATAATTCAAGTAAAACACAGGCTGCCATGAAAGAAATTCAAATTTTATTGTGAGAAAAAGTTCTCTAACCTGAATCCCAAACACAATTTGTGTTAAGGCCCAGATTCACCATCTGCTAAACATTTGTTGTTAGTTGAAGATTGGCTATTAGCTTAACAGTAATATATTATGTATCATGCGAGATTTATATCACCTTTTATATCAAGAATTTTGTACATCGTCGAACACATGAAAAGTCATTTATGATATGACAAGATTATGGCTATACAGTATACATGTTATATTATAATTCAACAGTTCTCGGATAGCAAGATATAACAATCACAGTAGAAAGAACCAAGAGATCCAGGCAAAGACAAAAGACCAGAAGGTGCAGTCACAGCAAAATGCAGATTTGAATGAGGTAATCGAAACTATTCGCAAGCTTACTTTACTTTATCCTTCCTCTTGTACCTCAAGGGCGTCGAGGGGAGAAAGAGCTTCCTGTCTCTAGCAAGTTTGATGGCCTGGCTGGGTGGGATATCGTATGTTGTCAGGGTATCCTTCACACCCTGGATCCAGGTCTTTCTAGGTCTTCCTCTTGCCTTGTACCCTGACACTTTTCTGCAGAAGGTTTTACTGGCAAGCTGGTGAGGTGCCATACGTATGAGATGTCCAAGCCACCTGATTGTTTGCCTTCGAATGCAGTGGAGGACAGGTGTTGTTCCCATCATTTCTCTGATCTTGTTGTTTCTGACCGTGTCCCGTCGCAAGCAATTTTGATCAATATGACTTCTAGATGGGGGAAAATCCCACTTTCTAGTGTGAGTAGAATGTGGGCCTTGACAGACGAGCTACAATTGTCGCGTAGTAAATTATTTGCAGAAAGTGTCGCTTACTTGTGTTGCACCGCACGGGGCGACATTTAACGCTACTGTTCAGTTGAACATGAACGATCGGAGAGTCAGGTACATCCAGACATGTCAAGATAGAAAGCAAATAAAATGGAAAAGCAGCTTACGTATCTGTTTCTTCAATGCGTCACTTGCATCATTGCATTCTGGTCTGAGTGCTAGGCATACATCTATCCAAGCATAATTAAAAAAAAAAAACCATTCCTCACTTGTGTTGTCCAAATGATGTTTGTGTTCTTTTATTTCCAAAATCAAACACGCTGTTTCGTGATAAGAAGACGTGGTTGCAATTGGAATATTGTCGTGTTGAATGAAAAGCGAGAAAAACACACAACTATTGTAGAAATGCGCCGGCAGTAAATACATCTCGTGTGTCTGTGACTCTTGAACTCTGTGCTTCACCAAAACACTTGTATGTCGCGGCGTAGCAGAATTTTGGCGACACACGTCTGCAACGCCAGGATCGAAAATAACGCCTGTCGCTCGTGTGACCGCACCCATTGTCTACAGTGTATTACCAGACTGTGCAGTAATTCCTGCTGCGTTTTTTTACTTCTTGTCTGTCACAGCCCTTAGTGTGTAACAACGTTGTAACCATTTTCTGCGGAGTGGAGGAGGGGAGTACATGTATTCATCATTTCAAAGTGTATCCCACAGACTAAATCTTCTCTTTTTAGATCATAATATGTTATGTTTCAAAAGGTCGATAAATGGAAGCTATATCCACAACAAAAAGTCTTCTAGATCTTCCATTCTCAATTTTCGTGCGCAAATCAAGTGCATTCCACGCTGGATTACAACAGTTGAAGAGAGGTTTTCCTCAAGAGCACACCTCGGTAAGACTTATCGTCATCAAACGTTCAACACGTCCATCCACCCGTACTTTTCTAAATTCTGCTGTCTGGGGATAAGGGTCAAGTATGCTCGAAGACTAAGCACAGAAGAATGAGCGCTGTCTTCCTTTGCGCCCCCCCCCCCCCCCCAAAAAAAAAAACAAAAAAAAAAAAAAAAACAACCGAAAGAAGAAGAAGAAGAAGAAGAAGAAGAAGAAGAAGAAGAAGAAGAAGAAGAAGAAGAAGAAGAAGAAGAAGAAGAAGAAGAAGAAGAAGAAGAAGAAGAAGAAGAAGAACAACAACAACAACAACAACAACAACAACAACAACAACAAACAACAACAACAACAACAAACGAAATGAGAAAAGCTGACCTTAGCTAACCGGGTACTTGATATTCAGTGACTAATGCCTTTATAATGACAACCTACAATCAATATTTTTGTACACACCATCATACAACGTAAAGATTTCAAACAATAACAAGCCATTTCTATGCTCAGCAGTGCAGCACCCTGAGTATGAGCGGTGATCAACTTGCCTTGCTCAAGGAGACATCCCGCCAATCATCCGTCTAAGATGATTCCTTTTGTCTGACGCACTTTCTCTGAGATATGGCGTCCACTAACTACAGGGTCATCAACCGGTTCTTCTGTTGAATGGGCGCCTCAGCTGTATTGTTAACTTCAATGGAACCATAGTATGATAATAATGGTAGGGGTTTTAGGTCCCTTTTCAACACTGCAAAGGTACGTCAGAGTTGGGACCCAAAGTCACGTGTAACTCCAACAGCCAATAGGGCTGAGCCAAGTATGTGATGTGGAGAGCAATGAAAATTTCCGAAAATGACACACATTCTGGAATATCCTGATAGGGGTTTTAAGCAGAGCAAACCGACAGTGTAGTCCAGAGTGATATCAACAGGAGTAACGGTGGACATTGCAGAGAGCACATGCAATTTGAAAACATTGATTCCAGGACAAATCCCCATCTGCATTTTTCGTATGTACAATAAGCGACCTTGTAAGTACAGAATAAAGGCACATGTGAACTCTTAAGTAGTACTGCTACGTTTTACTGTCTATTCTCCCCTCATGGTTGAAGTTCAAAGAAGGCCAAAGAGTGTACACAAAAAAAGTTATGGGTAAAACAAATATACTTGAACTCTCCATTCGAAACTTACTTCACCTACAATGGACATTATACGAGGTGCCCACTACAGCTGGATCGGGCCGATCCCGTCCGTAGTGGGCACCCCGTATTAGAAGTCTCTATTCTCTGTAGGCTCACAATTGGGACGCCGTTAAAGCATTATCGACAAACACTCTTAACTTGATTTAAGAATTGGGTTGGGGGAAGGGAAGGTCACAATTTATTTTTAACAATATGATTTATGTTCTCAAACAAGCACCACTCAGTTTTAATTCAGCTTATCACATAAGTTTACACGTGTGTCTGTGACTCGCGACTGCGATATTCGCTGAGCTCAGCCAGAGTTCCCCCCTTAGGAACAACAGAAGGCTCTGCGCTGCCCGTCGATGCCGAATCAGAAGCAGAATCCAAGAGATGATCTTCGGGTTCTCCCGTCAAACTGATGTCTGTAATAAGGTCAAGGGCACGCAGGGCTTCATCTGCTTGCTCCAGGAGGGACGGGTCAGTAGGCACGTGCATAATGGTCTTTTGATTAGTGTCAAGGTCGGGGGAGAGTTTAATCATGGATCCGTACATGTGGGCGTACTTCCTGCACAGCTTTTGTCCATCCTTGTATGACGTCATTTCCTGTAAGGCTTCGTCATTGGTTGCCAACCTTATCTGCAAATACAAATGAAAGTGCTCATTACACCTGCTGTACATGGGATCTTATTTTAAGACTTTAGCTCCCCTCCCTACGTGATACAACTTTATTTAATATGAATGGTACCTCTAACAGACACAATAGATAATAATAAATTCTGGAATGAGAAGGGTCGTTTTCAAAAGAACCTAGGGCTCATGGTCAGGGAGGAGGAGATAATTCTACTGTTACACTACCTTGATGGTTTCCCATTACGTGGACAACAAAAAATACTTGATAGTTATTTTTTTGTAGACATCTGAAATGTGTTTGGTAGCAGAATCGGCTACGTACTGTTGACAATTTGAAGGATGCCGTGACTACAGGGTGCCAAAAGATCATCCCTAAACACACTGGCATGTTGAAGACAGTATTCTTGGGAGAGTTGATGCTTGTTTTGTTGCTTAGAAAGCTCAATTCAAACTTTTGTAATTAATCAAGCATCTTAGATGAAAACCAGGATGATGTGCGACATTTGGGACACCCTGTGTAGTGGTGCTCCCCAACAAACCGCGATTTGAGCTGTAACACAAAGCATTAGGCTCTCAAAAGCACACGCCTGCCAGTTTCTTTATTTGTAAAGCTATCATTGTTTTTACTGTTGTTGTTGTTGTTGTTGTTTCTGTTGCTGTTGTTGCCTTCTTTCCCAAACATGCTATCGTCGATTTGTCATTGTTCCTAAACATTGAAACATATGTTTGACATCCTCCTTTTCATCGTTGCATCTTCGGCAACGTGGGTTGAGCTCTTCATTCACAAAGTTCTGATACCATCGCATGCTCCAATGATGGTCCGACCGCAGTCTCGCTAGCTCAACCTGGTGCCAGCGACATATGATAAATTGTTCCTGCTTATTGGAGTACCCAGAATACACATCATCCAGGTGCTGGTACTCAGCTCTGCATGGTGGGTCTCTCATTCCCTTCTTGGTCATTGGAAAGACTCCCCTGTATGTTATTGGTCGTCTGTCTTCTTCAATCTCTCTGGCTTCATTGGCGGCTTGGTCTGCTGCCTCATTTCCTTCGATTCCAACATGGCTTGGAATCCACTGGATCTTTATTGTGGCTGTGGTTTCACTGAACTTGAGGCGCAAATCATTCATATCTGAGCTTTTCCCAAGCAGTCTCTTTCAGAGGGACTGACTGTCAGTCAAGATCAGCTCATTGGTTCTACTGTGGCAATTGTCAACAATCCGTTGTGAAGCAGACATCTTTTCCAGACATTCCTCGTCATAAGATGATGTGAGGAATGCACCTTTAGTTCTAATGATTTCTGTTCGTGGTGGTTCATCATTCATTATCACCACTGCTGCTGCTCCACCCTCGCGGTATCCTGTGACAGCCGATCCATCGGTGAAAATTGTCACACCCGCACCAACCTCTTTGATTACATCCTCAGCTGCTTCATGTGCCTTTACAGGATCATCATCTTTTCCTTTTACTCCTCTCAGTTCTGTCCGAATTTCGATTTCGCCATGGGTCTCCCATGGACAAGCTCTCACCAGACTGATCGGCCATCTATTCTCTGCTTCAGGGGGGAGGTGGTCTGCTAGATCGGTGCCCATCCGAAACCAACTTTTCCTGCTGTTTTTAGGCTTGACTGCTTGATCAAGGGTTTTTTTGTAGGGTAGCTGTCTGGCAATCGCATAGCCATCTCTACAGACTTGAGGCATGCTCTTTTTGTATAGTTGGTGCAGTGCTCAGTTCTGGTCTCACTGCGCAGTGCTTCTGTTGGTGTTGTTTTCAGCTGACCTGAAACAAGGCGGAGGGCTTTGTTTTGTATTCTGCACAGGGCCTTTGCACTGGTCTCAGTCATCCAAGGCTGCCGGCCACGCTGTGGCTGCATAATCCTTCCTGCTTTTCACAAACATCTGGTATACCTTCTTGGGCGACTCCTTACCCTAGCCTCATTTTGAGCTGCTGACAGCACCGATCATTTTCATTTTTGAGGTTGCACTTATGGACACTTCCTCCGTGTGCTTGTTGAAGGTTAGCTGTCTATCCAGATAGACACCCAGCAAGCGTGGAGCGGGGTTGAATGGTATATTTTTCCCTTCGATCTGAATTACTGGTTGCCACGTTGCCTCCTTCACCCATGTTGGGAAGAAGCACACCTCACTCTTGGTTGCATTCAAGGTAAGTTTCCATTCATTGCTCCATTTCACAACCATGTTCAAAATCAACTGTGTCGCTTCCTTTGCCTGTTCTCTCTTTTGCGTGACTGGCCAATACTGTGCAGTCACCAGCGAACATGGAGTAGATCAGCTTGGCGGAGGTTAGTAGTTGTGATTCAGAGTTTGGGAGGGATTAAGCAAGGTTGTTTATGAATCTAATATCAACAGCAGCGGCGACAGTAAAGCTCCTTGGGGCAGCCCTTATGATGATGATGATGGTGATGATGATGATGATAATGATGATGATGATGATGATGATGATGATGATGATGATGATGATGATGATGAACAAACTAAGTTAGTTATCATCTCAAATTTGATGTTTTACAGACTCACCTTAATCGGAGCGCCCAGGGGCAATTCAAAGAGGACATTCCGGGAGTTGAGAATTGTGCTGCCTACGACTGACTCCCCTATTTTAGCATCTCGGAGGATCATCATGCCTGGTGGGAAGAAACAGCAACCAAAATGTAACTGTAGATATTTTATGCACTCGTTGATATAATTTAGATAATATATGAGGCGGGCTGCTTCTACCCTGCCTGTCAGGGCCAACCTTGTCTGAGAGGGATATAACAACGTCTTAATTGATAGTCAGAGATACAACATATGAATTCTCCCTACACGAGAATCAAACTCACGTCTTCTGCGTGCGACGGTGAAGCCTTGCCTGCTACACCAGAGACATCGCTAAGAACCAATAAATAGATACAGGAAAAAGGCCTTGTGAATTATTGCAGACTTCTCGCATTGGATACAATGAAGATATTTTACTCCATATTACTTACCCGTGAAAATACATGGTACAACAGGCGCTTTTCCATAGAGCAGCCGCACTTTGACAGGCAAAGTAAGGTCACTGAGTACATCTTTCATGGAGTATACAGCGTTCTGGGAGATCTGACCTCGCTTGTAGATGGCGTTGAATTTCCCTGCAGAGAGATGCGATTATGTCGGATGAGAAGAAGAAGAAGAAAAACTAGAAGAAGAAGAAGAAGAAGAAGAAGAAGAAGAAGAAGAAGAGGAAGAAGAAGAAGAA